CCGCGAAGAGTGGTCTACAACCACAAAGAGATGGTCTACAAGACCTCTCCTTCCCTCCGGGAAGAGAAAACAAGACTTGGTCTGCGGATCGAGTCAAAGTACAAAGGGTCCCGAGATCCGGAGGCGAGGCTCTCAGCCAAGAACTCCGAAACCTCGAAACGAGCACAACATGCGCAATCTCTGAGCGCTCAATCGATGACGTCTGAGTCTTAAGGTCGGTCAAAAATGGGGTGTCTACACAAGAGGGTCACCACTCTCTGATTTAGGACCTCAAAACTACATGCCAACCACTAAAAATCCATTGGATTTCAGTAGCTAAAAGGCCAAGTAAGGATTATCTCAAAGGCCCTAAGGCATGGCACAAAACAAGGCCAAACAAGGCATGCAAAAGGGTAGGAGACCCTCAGCACTCAAGAGGCCTTAAACAAACATGTTAAGTGCTAAAAAATGAAGCTTTTTTTAGTTGAAAACAAAGCTCAAATAAGCATGCAAGTATGGCTAAGAGAATGATCAAGACAAAACTTAAAATGGGAGAAAAGAGGTTACCCTTGAAGCACTGCAATACCAGCAACTTTCTCAGCCAAAAAACCAGCTTTTCAGCCTCCAAAAAGGTCCTCCAAAAACCTCAGTTCAATGGTGGGGTGTATGGTTAAGAGTTGTGGCATAAAGGTGAAAAACAACACACACTTTAGGCACCAAATATAGAGATATAGAGGGAGATATACACTTGTGCCTTAGGCAAAATTCAAACCTCTAGAATGGAGAGGGAGAGCCTCTCTTATAGAAGAACAAAAGGTTCAAGCTTCTTGAAGAAGCTAAAACTTGGATGCAATCCCTCCATACACATGTATGGAGGATACAGTCTGTGCCCTCCAGCTGGCACAGCTGGCATCCATTCAGTTTGCTAAAACAGAAGGAAAGTTGCCGACCAGAAAAGGTGGTCAGCCTGCTACTTTTAGTGGTCGGCCGACCACCCAAAGTGGTCTCCTAGGCAAAAAAGTGGTCGGTAGGGGGAATTGGTGGTCTCCACACTGAAAGCAAGCCAATGGTAGGGTAGGAAACCAGAAAATGCGGCCCAAAGACCAAGAAAACCAGTTTCCCGACCAGAAAACCGGTTGACGGGGAGAAAAGTGGTCTCCAAGGATAAAAGCTGGTCTCCCACCCTTGTACCACTACCCAAAAAAGGAAAGTAAGGTTTGTACTCAAGACAAACCAAAACGGATGCAAGATGAGGGTTCAGGAGGCAAGCTGCACGGCCGGGAGCCCCGAAAACCAGCTGCCGAGCATCAAAAGTGGCGTACGACCACAAAAGTGGTCTCCCAGACCACAGTGTCCCTCTAGACAGAGGAAACGAGGTGTGGTCCAAAAACCAAGCCAAACGGAGAATGTTAAGCGGTCCCGAGACAAGGCACAATGCTGAAGGCTCCGAAAATCGGAAACTAATCTCCAAATGGGAAAAGTGGTCTACGACCGCGAAGAGTGGTCTACGACTACAAAGAGATGGTCTACAAGACCTCTCCCTCCCTCCGGGAAGAGAAAACAAGACTTGGTACGCGGATCGAGTCAAAGTACAAAGGGTCCCGAGATCCAGAGGCGAGGCTCTCAGCCAAGAACTCCGAAACCTCGAAACGAGCACAACATGCGCAATCTCTGAGCGCTCAATCGATGACGTCTAAGTCTTAAGGTCGGTCAAAAATAGGGTGTCTACACAAGCTCACTCTTTTCTGTTCTCTTCTCTCCCTCCCAGCTGAATGAAGTGTTTGTGTGTGTGTTCTTGTATGTAAAATGCAAAGGGAGGGGTTGTTTTTATAATAAAATTGGTGCAAAAGGTTCAAAATGCCCATTGGTTGGAATTAGATTTGGATATTTTGGATTTAGTTTGAATTCAATAGAATAGTGGATGATTAGAGATCTTAATTGAGTACCTAAGCATGATCTTGTTAGGGTTTTATCTTAATCAAACCATCCTAGTTACAAGTACAATGCGTATTTACATTTATATATATATATATATGAATTACAAATTCTGTTTAATAAAAATTCTAGTTATATAGAGAGAGGGGTTTTTTTATTTTTTATTTCAATATATAGAGAGAGGGTTGAGGCTTGTATTCCTATTTTCGTATTTTGCCCTTTTATTGGTATTATTTACCATTCTTTGTCTTTTTCTCTATCTAATGTATTTGGGATAAATTACAAAAATATCCCTAAAATTTGTTTAAAATATGAATTATTCTCAGTAGTTTTAGAAATTATAAATACTTCCCTTGTTGGAATTCTTAATTGTTGTCTCCTATGCAACAATAAAATTATTATTCATCCAAAAATAATAATAAAATTATTAAAATTGTTAATTAAAAAAAAATTTTGACATCATTAAAAATATTAATTGACTTAATGATTTATAAATAAAAGGGATAATTTGTTATGTGATTTAAAGTTGGAAAGGATGAGATGTAATTTTCAGAACCATAGAAAGCAATTTATATTTTAAACGAACCTTAAGGAGTGTGATTGTAACTTACCCAAGTATTTTCCTATTTAATATAAATAAAGAAAAAAAATTTAAATATGAAAAAGTTCACTAAAGATAAAATATAAAAAATCAAAAATCAAAAATCAAAAAACCAAAACTCAAAAATAATTTTTAAAAATTAAACCAAACAAACTAATAATATCATTTTAGGTATTCCATTTGAGATGTTATGTGCAACTCACATGTCAATTTTTCATCTATTTAAAAAACTAGTCATTAACAAAATGTTTACATTGATGCAAATTAATAGTTTAAGGTGAAGAATTATAACATTTTTTAGTTTAAAAGTTAAAGTGACATTATAGTTAAATGAGGCAAGGTATAAATTATCCTATTGCTAAAATAGTATTTTCATCATAAATGTTTAAATTGAAAAAAATTAATAGAGGATGGAGGTGAAGTATTACAATTTTTAATTCAATGGGTGAAGTGATACGGAACAATAGTTGACCGGAATAAAGTGTAATTTACCGTATAATTGATGTTGCATCCTTGTGTAATTTTATTTTATTTTTTTTAAAAAAAAAAACTTCAAATTAATATATTAACAAACTTGAATGCCGATAAATTTAAGAGAATTACAACAAAAAAAAAATTCAAGGTTTGAGTCTTCTAATAAAATAAATCGTGAATTTTTAATTTTATCAATTTAAATCCTAAACTTTAATTTGTTTAAATCTAAACATTTACTTATTTTTCTCAAGCAAAATCTATAAATAAAAAAAAAATAGATATTTTAGTCATTAAACTTAATAAAAAGTGTAATTTAGACACTTTATGTATACCTACATTGAGTTTAATGATTAAACTATCATTTTTTTCATCGATTTTACTTAACGAAAATAGTCAAATGGTTTAAATTGAAAATAAACTAAAAGATTAGGATTTAAATTGATAAAATTAAAAATTTAGAATTTATTTTGTTACAAGGCTTAAACCTTGGTTTTTTTCTTCTTTTTTTTTTTTGTTGGGTTTGTTTGTAATTGTCCCAAAATTTAATTATTAATATTGCATACAAAGAAGAAAACAAGTTTTAAATTAAAATATTAAGCTATATAAAATATATAAGAATGTTTCATTTAAATTTTGATGCCTAAAATTTACAGAAAATTAAGCCATCTATGCCTCTCATAAAAATAATACACAAGTGATTAACTTAAATAATTCAATTAATTTACATATTTCCATATAATCTTTTCATTTTAACATTTGAGCTGTAATTTGCACCTTTTTTTTTCTCTTCTTCTTCTACTTCTTCTTCTAGTATATATATATATATATATAGGATTTAGTTTCTCTCAAGTTGGTCATCTCAACTTGAGATAGGATTTAGGCTTAGTAAGCCCATTTTGAGAACTGATTTTGGTGATTCATATGGTTCACTTTTTAAGAATCGTTGAATAGAATATTTATGCAAAAAAATTAAGATAATTGGACATTGGTAGTTATATATTTGAATCAAATTTGAAATTATAACTACTAATATCTGATCATCTTGATTTTTTGCTTGAATATTTTACTTAACGAGTCTTAAAAAATAAATTGTTCGGATCACAAAAATGAGTTTTAAAATGAGCCTATCAAGTCCAAATACTTTCGCAAATTGACGTGACAACTTGAGAGTAGTCAAACTCATATATAGATGTGTGTGTGTGTGTGTGTGTGTGTGTGTGTGTGTAAGATTTATAGATTGTTTTGAAAAATTGATTAAAAGTTGACTTGTTATTTTTTATGACTTTTTTTTAAAAAAAAACATGTAGAAAAAATAAAGAGATAATGTGACTTAAAATAGGCTAAAAGTCAAATTAACTTTTAATCATTTTTTCCAAAAGAGCCCTATATATTTGAGTAATGCTAGGGATAAATGTCTCACATAGATGTGGGGTTCACAGATTATAAATCTCATACTCATATAAGACATTTAATCATTTATTTGATAAAAAATTTAGAACTTATAGCATTTTCTTATATATTTTAAGCGCTTATATGTAGACTTAGATAGTCATGGTACAGGCTTCAAATATTGAAGTGCAAATTTGTCTCAAATTTGTTTAACCGGTCGTCCGGTAAAAAGAGTGACAATCGCAGTATATAAGTGCTTCCCCTGGTCATCCGGATGGTTGTTCGACCGGTCAACCATTGACCATAAATTCGCACTATTCACACCTGGGGTGATTATTCAGTACTTCCGAAATATGAATATGTGGTGCTCCATAAAATTTTGAGTTAGAAATAAGAAAATAATATGAAACTGTGATTGATTTAGAATATGAACACGTAGTGCTTCGCGAGTGTTGAAAAATTTCCCAAACACCGGAAGCTCTCGAAGTCTGAACCATTAGTGCTAGATTTTGTAGCAAACCCAATTCATTTGATTGGACCAAATGTCAGGTGTGTGGGTGGAGACATAATCGACACGGTAACCGTATATCGCATTCAACAAACCTTATATATAATAACAAGTTCGTTCGAGAGTATTGAAAAATTTGCCCCACACCGGAAGCTCTCGAAGTCTGAACCATTAGTGCTAGATTTATGTAGCACTCCCAATTCATTTGATTGGACCAAATGTCAGGTGTGTGGGTGGAGACAGAATCGACACGGTAACCGTATCTCGCATTCAACAAACCTATATATATAATAAGTCTCAAGCGTGTGTGTGTATCTATAGACTATAACGGACTACAAAAGCTGCCAAGTGAGTTCGTTTGAAACCCTAGACAACCTTCATTCTTCTTCATTTCCTTTGCAAATCTCGTTCTTAAACTGCTTAATTAACAGTATTTCATTTCATTTCATTTCGTTTCGATTCTCAAACTCCAATTGATAAATCCTTGTTCGTTCTCAGATTTGAATTACGATTCACTGATCACTACAATCGCATCATAATGCCCTGTTTTTCAAAACTGAATCGGATTAAACTATTCTTGAATGTTTTCATATCTATGTATCAAATTTTCAAGCTGTATATATATATATATATGGTGATTTTTTAGTGCTTTGAAATTGATCTGTATTTGGATAAAATTGTTGGTACAAATATGAATATGTATTTAATATTTGTATATACTGATTATCTGTATTTTATTCAGTCATCTTGCTTGAAATTATAGAATATGTGAATTTGTGGTGATTTGTATTTTATATTGTTGCTTCAGAAGTGGTTTAGATTATAAATGACCAGGAATTACAGTCCATGACCATGTGTGAAAATATGAAATAGGTGAGCAGAGAAGGAGGGTGTGTGAAGTGAATTCGTAAAGTCTTTTGTTAATTTTTATTTTTTTATTTTTTCCACTCAAGAAAAGTGTGCTATACTCTGCAAAAGTAGAGGTTCTGTTTATATTGTGTGCTGTTCATTTGTTCTTCTTGGCATTTCTTTTATTTCTGCATTTCTATTTCGTCCAAATCTGTCCTTTTTCATTCCACTGAGGCTCGTATAACCCTTATGCACCTGGTTGCACGATTGTGGAATTAAATTGATCAATTAATTGTTTAGAAGTGTGTTGATTAACCATACGTGGTAGCCAGTGGACAGGAGGATATAAATCAAGCATTTGCGTAACATAAAAGTCTCTAATTAACTGTATTGTAACATTTGTGTGTGGGTCTACAAGTCCATATGTATTTTTGTCACTTTGTGTCTAAGCATGTGCATGTATGTATTAATATATTAATCTGTGTTACCAGAAAACGCTAATCCCCTAGCGAATTACGTATTGGTACACACATTCTCAAACATAGTACACTTCAGTTTCAAATTGGTAAATTTAATGATCCGAAGCGATCATAAAAAAAAAATTCATTATATTTCCTTGAATGCTACCTTAAGAGGGGAAAAAATCAAATATAATGAGTTAAAATCTAAGGTGAGTTAAGTTTTGACAAGATAAAATAAAAAATAAAAATATATATATGCATTTTTATTAGATGCCTAATAGCTAAAAGAAAATAGATAAACTACCAATAGGTCATAATAGTTGGATTTAACTTCCATCAAGTCCTATTAAAAACAAGTCCTATTAAAAATAAGTCCTAGTAAAATCATCATTAAAAATAATTTTTTGTGGCGATTTTTTGTATGTTGCTAAAATTAACAATTAGTGACTTTTTTTTGTTTACGATTTTTATAAATTGTCGCTAAAACTTACAATTAGTGACCTTTTTCTGTGACAAATTTTTAAAACCGTCGTCGAAAGTTAAAAATTAGTGACTTTTTTTTTTTTACAATATTTTTCAATTGTCGCTACAACTTATAATTACTGATATTTTTTGTGACAAATTTTTCAAAGCGTTGCTGAAAATTAACAATTAGTGACGTTTTTTTAATAGTGTATGATGAAAAACGCCATTAATTCTCACAGGATCTATTGAACAATAAGTCCACCTATTATGACCTATACGTAAGTCCCCCAAAGAAAATTACTCAAGAAACATTTTAAATTCTTAAGTGTAATATATACAAGACTATCTCTATTGTACCACATTTTAGAGTATGTGGCGTACCACATTCCCGTTCCCATTTCCGTTCCACCTATCGGAACGATCTACGTTCTAGGTAACAAAGGTATTAATTAATAAAAAAAAATGTTGAAATATATTTATATATATAGGCTAAAATGATGTTATGGTTGATAGTTTGGAGTTTTGATTTGCAGCTACAAATGGGGGTATACCTAAGCACGCCAAAAACTGAAAAGGTCTCGGAAGATTGTGAGACTGACAGACTTAGATATGGTTTGTCATCCATGCAAGGATGGCGCTCAAGCATGGAGGATGCTGTAAGTTTTTTATTTATTTTTTTATGGTATTTTGTCATTTAACTAAAAACTCAATTCTGTTTGCACTTTAAAAGTATATTGTGTTGGTATAAATTGCACCTTCATACTTCATAATCATCATTATTGAGATGATGTGTATTTTTTTTACTTGATCAGCCGATTATAGTGCATGTATGTATATTTACCCATAGCCTTAATGGCTGTATCCGTAGAAGATCGGTGAGAATAACTTCTTGAACATTTGAGCCTGTGTCAATTGAAGTCCTTGAGATGCAAAAAAAGCTGAACTGAATTTGACATAAATGTGGCTATTAAGAAGATATTGTTCATTAATTTGCCAAAGAAATGGTGACTTCTGTTAGTTACATGCCTACATGGCTGATCTCAAATGATGAAATCATGTTTGCAATCTGAACTTGATGATGAAGTACTTAGGCTTGGTCATGCTGATTTCAAGAGATTTGGCTATTATATATATGTTTTTTGGTTTTTTAATTAAAACTTTGAGATCATCTAGGTTGCCAGAATCATGTGAAGTTTACATAACCAATCTACATAAATTGTTGCTTTAGATCATGATGAAGTAAACCAATTAAGCTAGCTCAAGCGACCCCTGTATACTTTTAGGTCAGGGGGTCAATCCTTGTCAAAGGCAAAGATTGATAATATCTCCCCTAGTAAGGGACTCTTTGTTGAGTTTGTGTTTATTTCTTCCCCATTATGGGGGCTCTTTGTTTAGGGGTCATTGGGTTTCTATAATTGTTGGACTATGATTATCTGGATGTAGTTCTCTTCATATTTGTAAATAATATCGATTGATAAACAAAAAAAAAGATTATGATAAAGTAATTTGTCATTCCTTGATTACTCCCATGTAACGTAAGCTTGCTTATCATCTGGGTTGACAACACTGTAGGATGATTAACTATGACATTGACTTGGATTTATTGGTGATATAACTGGCTTAAATTTTATTTGTCAAGGCTTAAAAGTAATTGACTTGTGGGAGAGGATATAGTTAGTTGTTGTGAGATGGTCAGTAGTGGTTGCTTTATTGCTATAGCAATTGTGGTAGGCTGATGGTAACAAAAGGAATGGTTGTCAAGTTGTATCCTGAAACTGTTGGTGGTAGGGTGGAAGTATTCCCTGTGAATCAGGTTTAGAGTTGTCATTGTTGTTTTCCTTTTATTTTTCTTCTCTAGATTCTGTTGTTTGAAATGAAATTTGATGGTTTTTCATCAGATTAGTAAGAGTGTGCTAATCTGATGCTGTAACTAGAAGATGAGTGCTGAGTGGAAAAATCATCTTCTTAGATGTTGTTATGCTGCTCAAGTTTCAAGGGTGATCTTTCTCTCTTTCAAAGTTTGTTTGAACCGTAAACCCTAAACCCTAAATGATCTTCTTCTTATATGTTGTGCTGCTCAAGTTTTAAGGGTGATCCTTCTCTCTTTCAAAGTTTGTTTGAACCCTAAATCCTAAATCTTCTTCTTATATGTTGTTGTGCTGCTCAAGTTTCAAGGGTGCTCCTTAGAGATGACAATAAGTTTTGAGATTTTGAACTCTATTTTTTATTTAAAAAATAACTTAATAGGTTTATCTGAATTGTATCTAAATGGAGCTTATATGTTCCTTTAGTTACTAGTAATGCTTAATGCTATTGTGGTTGTTTGAAATTTATGGTTGTTTCATCAGATTAGTAGGAATTTGATTATATTGAACAGATGCTGTAGCTAGAAGGAGAGTGCTTAGCTATGAAGAATGGGTACTTCGAAAAACATGTTGTACCCGTATCAGGTATTTACCAGCGTATGGTATCTCATATGGTACTTCTGCATACGTATTGGGTACACGAAACACGTACCCAAATTTTTTCTTCTTAATTTTTGGCATATCCAAATTTTTTCTTCTTAATTTTAGGCGTACCCAGACATACCTAGTATATACTCAAGCCGAGACATACCGTACCTCAGTTGAAACAATATTTTCTTCTACTACAGAGATAAAATTCCTTTCAGTAGACTTCTTTTTTATTTTTAGTTTTATACTTAGCATGATTTTAAAATTAAATTACGGTTTGTAAGTTATTTAATATATTGACATTTAATTTTGATTTATACCTTTACTTTTGGCATTAAATGTTAATTATAGGTTGCAGCTTAACAAATTAAACCATTTAATTAATTTTTGCATTTCTCTAAATTAAAAATAAATATTTTTTTACAAGCATACCAAGCCGTACCCGTATCCAACTTTTTTTGGATTTTACCGTATCGACATACCTGTATTGTACTAGTAGCAATACGTGTACCCGTACCCGTGCTTCATAGGTGCTTAGTGGTAGAGCATCTTCTCATATGTTGTTGGGTTGCTCAAGATTCAAAGCTGCTCCTTCTCTCTTTCAAAATTTGTTTGGACATTGTTGGCTTGGTTTTAGGTGTCTTTTTGTTGGTGGTAGAGATGACAATGAATTTCTATTTTTTACCGTCTTTCCATTTTGGAAGAAACACAATAGGATATTTTGATATTTTGGACTATATTTTTTTATTTATTTATGGGAAATGCTAAAAACAGCACTTAGGGCTGTTGTTGCAGTTGAAAAAGTGTACAAAAGTGCATTGACATGTGTGAAAGTATTTTGGGATGCGTGAAGAATGTATTGAGATTATAAATATTTTGGCATATAGGTACTTCTTATTGACAACCCTTAGGTCTGTCATTAGCAAGACCCATTTTTTATTTAGAAAAACACTTCATATGCTTATCTGGTTTTTATCAGAATGGAGTTCATAAGATTCTTTTCTTTTCCTTAGGGGAAAGGTGAATGCTTTGTGGTTACTAGGGATGTAAAAAAAATAAATTTAGTGACACTGTGGTTTACATTTTTTTAGTTTAATTTCCTATTTATTGGATTATGAACTGTACTTATCTGAGGTGTTCTATAGCATGCAGCTCATCTGGATTTAGACACTTCCACATCTTTCTTTGGTGTTTATGATGGCCATGGAGGTAAGCAATGAGTATACCACCTTTTGATTTCATTGTAATTTTCTGTATTTTTTTGCTCTGTCACATACACTTTTAGCTATCTTATATTGTGGTTTTGAGTTGAGTTTGATGGGTCTTTATTATTTTTCTGGCACTTCTTAATGTACAAAGAAAGGTATAGTTGGAGTAACATGACAAAGAAAGCTATTGCCCGAAACTGTTTTTTGTTACAATTCTTAGAAGTTTGAAATAAAAAAGTATCTGAGTTATTCACAGTTACAACTTCTAAAGAATTCTTGATAGTGTCTTCCTTTTTGGCACTGTCAAGGATAATGTTTGGCACTTTTTGTGAAAATGTTTCCTCATGCTAACTGTGTGCCTCAAGTAGCAAGTGGTCTGACTTTCTTAATGTAGTTTGGCACAAACGGGAAGCAACTACCTCTTTCCTCAGGTTAGATGACCTATATATTGGTCAATAATGATGGATTTTGTGTATGTGTATGAGTTTTCCAGTTGAAACATTATATTGTTCAGGGTTGGAAACCTTTTGATGTTCATATTACTGCTTAGCTTCTTCAATAATACTTTTTACCCACCCAAAAAAAAAAAAACTTCAATAAATTCAGCTTTGCTGTTTAGTGGTTGCCGTACTCAGTCCTAAGAGTATCTTTTCATACTTGAGTTTATTAGGTCACAATAAAGAAACAATTTTTCTCATATAACTTGAGTAACTATTTTGCTGCCCAATAATGATAGTTGAGGCTTGGTTATCAACTGTTAGGAAATGTTTGCATTCCACTTGAGATTTATCTATGCTCTTGATTTACATATATTGTCTCTTTCTCCTTGCTGGGTTCCTTCATTTATTTATTTTGTGTGTGTGTGGTATTCTACCACCACAGTCACATTAAGTCCATCTATTTGCAGGGAAAGCAGTTGCAAAGTTTTGTGCCAAGTATCTTCACCAACAGGTGCTCAAGCATGAAGCCTATTTGGCTGGAGATTTAGGCACTTCTCTTCAGAAAGCATTTTTAAGGTTACTTCATTCCTTTTATTTTATTTGTTCATTTAATATTTTCAGCTGGTGCCCACTATAATCAGTCCAAGCACACAAGAGGCGGCAGGGAAGGTATCATTCACCTGTAAGTTACATGTGCTCATCTGCTTGGGAATCTTGAACCTTCCTGCAGTTTAATCATCAGCCAATATCGCCACTAAAATTTTATTGAAGCCCATAGAATGTCATTTTGCACACACTGTGGATTGCTCTTGTTCTGAAATTTAGTGCTGTTTACACACACACACAAAAATTGCTTATGCAAATTTGTTGGTGGTAACAATGAATATGTATATGCATGTTTCACCTTTGATATCTAAAAATAAAGAATTTTGTGTATGGATGCATATATATATCTTTCATCCCACATAAATTTTTTTTTTTTTTTTATCACACGCATACTATGGTAATGGCGTGCAGTTGTTGTCATGTTGGATTTTGGAAGCTTTCAGCTTCCTTGCCATACGTAACTTTTCAAGTCTTTTACTGCAGAACTGTCTAACTAGGATGGAAATAGCAGATTTGAATATCATTCATGACATTAAATAATTGTTCATTGGTTTTTGTGATTCTAATTAGTTTTGTATTTCTGGGTGCAGAATGGATGAGATGATGTGCGGACAAAGAGGTTGGAGAGAATTAGCCATATTGGGAGATAAAATTGAACAAACTAGCGATATGGTAGAAGGTTTAATAGAGTCTCCTAAGAGTGGTGAAGCTAATGGCCATGTTGATGACTGGCCGTCGGAGGAGGTATTTATTTGTGGCAAATCAAATATTGTGAATATACTTAGCAAGCAATATTTACCTTTCTGCTGTGCCAGGTTGGCAGCCGTTCTCAAAAAAATGTTTGAGCATATTTTGTTGGCCATGCTATTTGAGAAAAGTTTTATCTGATTAATCCTCGTTTCGTCTAGTTATAGCAATTGGGTTAAGGGCTTCTCCTCAGCCACAGAACCCAACTTCCAAATAATTAAAAAAGATATCGTAAATTACTAAAATCAACTCATCAATGTCTTGAAAATACTAACATATCAATGGATGCTTCTCAAATATTGCAGTTATTTGATTCCATGCAACTTTCCATTGAGAATTTTGGTTGAAACTTCAATGTTTTAGTTTAGTTATTAGATATGAATGATTGTGTGTTTTAGCATATAGCCTGTGCAGGTTGAGATCAATTTTGCGTAATTTCTTGTTGTTTCTCTTAGATTTGGTGATTAGGCACAGGCCTAACTCAGCAGGTCTAATATGCCGAGCTCAAACATAGATCTGCGTATACACCCATATGCACATGGAGAGCAAGAAACCTAGCTAATCATTATTTCCCAGTCCACCAATATAACCTCATTTATTAAGAGATTGCTTGAAGTATTTTCAGGTTCTATGTTAGTTTGTCAGCTGTGCCAACACAACAGAATGCACGAAGCAAAAAATTGAGAAATAGGAGCCCTGAAATAGAGTATGCAGTCAAAACTAGGCATAGAAGAAGTGCATGATGTCACAAGAATGTTGCCGAATCATCCATAAGCAAGTTTGTGAAACTAAAATTAGAAATAAATATCAGTCAGTCGTGTCTTTGGTCTCACCATAAAAAGGCCTAATCTCCTCTCTTATAACTTCCCTCGATAATAGTTGTCACTTTCAATGTAATTATTGCTTTTTTAACTTCTCTTGGCAATGTTTTTCATCACTACTAATGCTATTTTGAAAATGGGTATGTTACTAATTTAGACATTTGAATTTGATGATAAGGCACTGGAACATTTTTGTAATTGTGAAGTTCGAATTGCAAACTTTGAAACAAATTTCTTAAATTAGTAAAAGTGGTGAATACAGCAGAGTCCTGGTGCAGTAATTTAAAAGCTTGTGGTAGTGTAATTCTCCATGGTTCCAAAATGCCTTGTGTTGAAACATGCTTTTTCATCTCTAAGTTTCTGATAAGTTTCTTACAGCTAAGCATAAACATGGGGTTTGTTCTTCAGCTCACTGAAGTATATGTTTTCCAGTATACATGCCATATTCAATGCCGAGAAGGCTTGCATGTTGTATGCTATTTTTTCTATGAGCATATCCATTACATTGAAAAATGTAGATTAGGCTTTATTGTACTTTTGGAACGGTCCCTGTGTTGTTTGAGATAGTAGTGACTTTTTTCTGTGTATGCAGTGTTGTATCAACTCAATTAGCATAATTGTGGATTTTTGTGATCAATTTTGGAATTCTCTTTTTCTCCATTTTATATGCAAAATGATGAATTACTATGCCGAATTTCTCTCGTTTATTCAACTCAAATAGCATCACTGTGTATTTTTGTCATCAGTTTTGGAGTTCTTTTCCTCCAATTTATATGTGAAATAATTAATTATGTTCTCCCTTACTTTTTATTCTCAGTTTGCACGCTTTCCCACTTTTGATTCTTGGTTTCCAGCCTTTGCACCTATGAAGCATGGGTATTTCGAAAAACATGCCGTACCCGTACCGGGTACTTACCGGCGTACCGTACCTCGTATGGTACTTCTGCATACGTACCGGGTACACGAAACACGTACCCATTCCTAATATTTCCCTATGCCTTTATATTGGTGCCAGAATGTTCTTTGTACTTTCTGTCTCTAAATTTTAAAATAAACTAATGAGCCAACTTACACCATCAGTGCCCTTGCACTTTAAAAAGCTGGACTGGAATGGACACTTAGCTTTTAATTTCTTTTATTTTCAATTCTCTTAGAACTATGCTGCCTTCCTTGCTTGATCATTTCGAGATACTGGTTTATAACATAGTTAATAATGATATTTAACCTCCACTTGCAAGAATATGATATTTTAACCCCAAAAGAATTGATAGTCCTCACTGAACATGCCAGAAGAGAAAGGTCACTCTTATATGTGATCTTTTGCTGCGATCCTTATAACATTTCTCAATGAAGGGTCTCTCTTAATTCTTCGTTTATTTTTCTTTTTTAAAATTTTTATTTTTGTCTTAGAGCCATGCTGCATTCTTTGCTATCTTTTGGACATACTATCAAAAACTTGGACCTTTCTCACTGAACCTAACAGAAGAAAATATCTGGAACTTTGATTCTTTCCATATAAAATTAAACTGTGGTCAGTAATTGATGATTACTCAAATGGAACAAATTTGAGTTTGCCTCAAATAAAAAATGGTCACTCATATATGTTTTTCTTTCACTGCAATTTCTATAATATTCTGCACCTGCAATGAAGGCTCTCATTAAATGTCCATGAGCTAGGGACCCCACTCTGATTTCCATGGACCACATTATGGAAGCACAGCTTGTGTTGCAATCATTCGAAACAACCAACTTCTTGTTGCAAATGCTGGTGATTCTCGTTGTGTAATATCTAGGAAGGGTCAGGTAATTCTTTTGTTCCATCTTCTTTTCTTTTCTGAGGAGTTCCAAAATACTTGTTTACTAAGCTTGTGAAAAATATGTAGTTTTGTTTATGGCGCTTCATTTGCTTTTCCATGTAGGAAGTAATAGATGGTCCAGTTTGTGAGCTATTGTTCTTTTGGGATCTAAAGAATTAACTGTTTGTTGATGAATAATGATATTTACATTGGTAATTATTGTACTAACGATATCAACAGCCATTGAACACTTGGTACTGTCATGAGAATGGTGTGCTTGTTCTAGAATGGATGGTTGAGACAATTTTTTTTTTGTTGGGGATTTCATGTAGAGGATGTAGCAATTACTGGTCTTCATTTATCAGGCCTGAGCGCTTTTAAGTGCAGTCTTTTTATACAGGCATATAATTTGACTAGAGACCACAAGCCTAACCTTGAGGCTGAGAATGAGAGGATTCTAAAGGCTGGTGGTTCCGTCCAATTTGGACGGGTCAATGGAAATCTAAACTTGGCAAGAGCAATTGGTACTTCACATCTCTTTAGTTTATGCCGTCATTCAAATATGAAGGAAATATATGTTGTTTCTCTCTCTCTCTCTCTCTCATGTTTTGGTTTCTATGTTACATGAATGTCAGGTGACATGGAGTTAAAGCAGAACAAATCACTGCCTGCTGAGAATCAAATTTTGACTGCCAATCCTGATGTAAACACAGTATGTAGCATCTACACTTCAATATTATGTGCCAAGGATCCACGGTACTACAATCTGGACAACTGGAAGATTGAAAATAAACTTTGCTCTTATATTTTACTAATTTTTAGCTATACTACATGCAGTGTTATCATCTTAATTTTTACTTCGATAAAACTGCAATATTTTTTTATTTCTATAGCTGTTAGAATATGATATTTGCTTATTTCTAACTTACGTGAGACTTCTTTGGATACAAATATTTTGAGTAAGTTACCTTCAATTGTTTAATTTTTCTTCCATGGTTTTGTTATCATATCTTTTTTTGATCAACTTGAACTAGGTCGAGCTTTGCGATGATGATGAATTTATTGTTCTAGCATGTGATGGTATATGGTAAGTCTAGTATTTGTGTTTTCTCTGCCCTTCCTGATTTTCTCTGTGCGATATTTAACAAAATCAAAATGCATTATTGTGATAGATTTTTTTTTCTTCATTTGATTGCACAAGGGATTGCATGTCAAGCCAGGAAGTAGTAGACTTTGTTCGAGAACAGTTGAAAACTGTAAGTTCTTGAGACTTTATTCAGAAAATTGTTGATATTTTATGCAGAGGTAAAACAGAGATCTCTTTCATATCCATGTAGGAGACTAAGCTTTCGGTGCTGTGCGAGAGGGTCTTTGATAGGTGTATAGCACCATTAGCTGGTGGCAATGGGTGCGACAACATGACCATGATCTTGGTGCAGTTCAAGAAACCATTTGGCGACAGTGTTTCCGCCAAGGAGCAACCTTTCCTCTGGTACCCCGATCCACATTCTGATCCAGATCCAGATTCAGATTCTGACACTGATGAAATCCCAACAGAGCCTGAGGTGAAAGAGTAATAATAATCCCTTCACAATGACTGAATGGCTAGAATCCAATTTCCTTAGACGCGAATTCTTGTATGTACAAGACTTGTGAATCTCTACACGAGTTTGTAAATGTTGAAGGTTTTTGTTTTAAAGAGAAGTTTTGCATTTTTGGAAGTCTTGTGCATTTTTGTTGTTGTTGTTGTTGTGTTTGGGGCTTCTTGATTTGAAATGACATTTGGATCACTATTTGTTGCGGAGTCATCCTCGGGCAATACTTCTGATCAATATTCTTGTTGCATGGGCATGATATTGGCCCCATTCTGAGACTTTGCTTTTGAAATTTGGATTGGTTAAAAAAAAAAAGTAATTATATATTTTTTTAATTATTATTATTTTTAAGATTGGGGAGTAATTATATCACTATGAGATGGATCTTTTTCGCATTAGCCCATATATCAATAATCAATTGTTAATATGTTATTACTCCGTTCTTTTTGATAGGTCATATTTATATGTTTTCTTTTTAAAATAGGGCAAAATTCATTTTACTTCCTTGTGGTATGGCTTAATAACACTTTACCCCTTGTCTTTTAAAATGAAAAATTAGTTTAAGGTCCCTCTCTCATTTTTTTGTAGTAAAAGAGATTCACAATAGTATTTTATAATGTCTAAGGTCCCTTGATCCTACACCCGTATATTCCAGAGAAAATTCACTTTCTCGCTTTCTTCTTTCCTCTGGCTAGGGCTTTCATCATTCTCTCTCTCTCTCTCTCTTTCTCTCTGATTCGATCAAACTCATCTGTTTTTCTCTGCCTTCCCTATTTCGAGAGGGTGAAGATCTCAAGGTGAAAAATATTTGTAAGAATTTGGGACAATTGATCCAAAAGTCGATCGAAACCAAACCCTAACAAAAACTCCGACATACTCGTCGATAACGGCCTCAACCCAGACACAGCTCTGTCACCATAATACAACTCAAACACTCCGCTACCACTACTGGTAGCGACTTTAGAAACGCCGCCATCAGAAGGGCTATGAAGCACGATCACATGATTGAAAGACGAGCGATCTCCACCATTTCTTCAACTCTGACACATTATCGTTTCCCATCTGGGTCTGATCATTTTGTTCTCTATTTAACTCAACAGAGACAGAAGAGAAAGCCAAGGAAGTGTGCAATCTGGATGGTATATATGCTTACAGGGCATTTCACAAGCTTCGATTCCTAATTCAAAGGGTTCTTTGCAAACAACAGAATATGATTCGGTGGATATATTGCTTTCAACGATCTCAATTGTGGGCATTGATTCAATCGCAGCCTTGGAAGCTGGTGGATGATCAATTCAATCCAAAAATTATTTCAAAAATAAAATATATAGATCAGATTGTTTTTATTTTGGATGGGTTTAACTTACAACTGCATCAGGTATTGCACCATTCATTTCAATCTTGGGATATTTTTCGGGAATATTTATTTTTTATTTTTTACAAATCGAGATCAGTCATGGTTTCTTTGGAGAGTCCATGTAATCACAAATATCCATTATCTTGGGATATTTCTCTGGAGAGTGGGAAGTATATGCAAGGTAGAGAAATTTGAAATTTCTCTGGAGAGTCCATGAAAGGCTAGGGAGGCCAGAGAAATTTAAAATTTCGCTGGAGAGGTAATTTTGTAGGAAGGCCGGTGAAATCAGTGTTGAGTCCAGGAGAGGCAAAGAGGGCAGAGAAATTTAAAATTTCTCTAAAGATGTAATTTTGTGGAAAGGCAGAAAAATTTCTCTGGGAGAGTAGGAAGTATATAGAAGGCAAAGAAATTTGGAGAAGGGAAGGGTAGAGAAATTTACAGTGGGAAGTTTAGGGAAAATTTCTCTGGACCAATTTTCTCTGTGACGTGAATTTTCTCTGGATCAACTTGAGGAACCTTAGACATTATGAAAATATTATATGCCCTTTATGCTATAAAATCTTAATACGAGAGACCTTAAAAAAAATCCCTTTTAAAAATAGCCATATCTCCCCCACGTGATTTTGGACGAAAATGTAACCATTAACATTGTTAACTATAGATATAAAATGACTATGATACAATCAAATCTTATATATTTTGTTATTTTCTTTTTCTCTCATTTCTCATACACATAATGTTTGATATCTTATAAATTCTTAATTATTTATTGTAATTCTTAAATTTTTATTCTAATTTTAATTTAATTATATTTTATATCACAATTAATCTTGAATATTTAACTATTTGATGTAATTACTAACTTTTTAATCTAATTTTAATTTAATTATATTTTAGAAGACAATTAATCCTAAATTTTTAATTATTTATTATAATTTCTAACAAGTTAATCTAATTTTAATTTAATTACATTTTAGATGAATTCTTAATTATTATTTATTTTATATTTTAAATCAATTCTTAATTATATTGTATATTTTAGATGAATTCTTAATTATATTTTATTTTATTTTAATTAACTTATTAATCTAATTTTAGATTTGGAGAAAATAGAGGTAAAATAGTTATTTCGTTTTATTAATTTCATTTTAATTTTTCAGAAAACAAAACCCACTCTTAAAATTAGTGTGCAATACACCTTTTGTTAGTTTAGATGGAAAAATTAATGACAGCACTTGAATCCAACACTACATGGGGACTTTTTAGTTATAATTGAACGATAGGGAGGTAATATACTTCAGTTCCAAATCACAAAAGAGTAAAATGAATTTAACCTTATAAAACAAGACCTTGTTTGGGAACAGGCTTTTTTAGTAACTTTTTGATTTATTGGCTAAAATGTGATGTAAAAAAAACTAGTTTGAGAAACAGGGCTTGAGATAAAAAGTACAAAAATTTGGGAACAGGGCTTGCTTGGTTTGTATTTGAGAAACATGTTTTGAGATAAAAAGTACGAAAATTTGTTTGATTTGATTTTTTTTCCAAAGATGTTTTGAAAAATTATTTTGAGAGAGAGTTTTGGAAAAAGTGATTGATTTGATGTGTATGAGAGAGAGATTTGTTTAGAAAACTTGTAAACCAAACAAGTTTTGGAAAAAAAATTGGAAAAATTTATTTGGTTTGACTACTTTTGAAAAGTTATTTGTAGAGAATTTTTTCCAAAAATTTTTGAGAAACACAAACCAAACATGTTTGAGATGACTTTTTGACTTTTTATGAAAAGATGTACAAAAAGTAGAGAGAAAATTGAATCTTGACTTTTTGGTATGGGTTGGTGGCTTTTTTATTTTTTTAGTAACTTTTGACTTTTTAGCTAAAAATGACAGTTGTCAAACGAGGCCTAAGAATACTTTGGGTCACATGTAGCTTTAGCATCTATTGATGTAATATAGTATCATATAAAGTACGGATACTTCAAAAATAGTGTCGTATGAGTATCGGATACTTACCGGATGCAGGCATACGTACTAATATGGCTGTATGCGTACCGAATATGCCGAATACGACAGATATGTGGTACGTCTTCGGTATGCTTTGGGTACATTTTGGGTAGGCGGGGCGAAAAAATACATTTTTAACAACATTAGGGGTGCTGGAGCAAATTTTTTGTGGGTAATTAAGAAAAAGTTATAATTTTTGTGATTATTTTATAATAATCTAAACATAGAAAAATTAGGTTTATGTTATATTTCTACGCAGCCAGCAGCAACTTTACGAAGATGAAGACGACTTTCGCAAGGCTCTGGTTTGATTTTTCGTAGCAAGTAGGCTATTTTTCACAACAAGCTAAGGTAGTTACTCGATTTATTTTTCTTCGATTTTCCCTCTTCTTCTTCGATTTTTCCGCTTCTTTCCTTCTTTCTCTTCTTGGATTTGTTCTTCTTCGATTGTCCTTCTTCTTTCCTTCTCCCTCTTTTTCAATATGTTTTTCTTCGATTCTCCTTTTTTTTTCGATTTGTTTTTTTATATTTTATTTTAGATATGTATTTTTTTTTTTATGTGTGCAACTGTTAGAATTTATTACAGTCTTCATTATTCTTCTTTCAATTTTAAAAATCATCAAGTAATTTGTTTTTAACACCATTTACCATGACTCATAACATCGCTCTCTTTTGCAACTTATTTTAGGCAATAAAAAAAAAAAGATACCATATTATTGTTAAAAAAATTAGATATAACATCTCTAGCTATAAATTATAAACAATAAAAAAAATAAAAAATAAAAAATTGACATACCTCAGCCGTACTTATACTTTACTTTTCAAAAAAATTTCGTATTAATATATCCACATCATAGTTGTACTGGCACCCGTGCTTCTTCTAAAGTTTCATAGCAAATATTTTAATTCAAATTATACTTCCCTTGGAGAAGTAAAAGATACCATATTATTATTAAAAAAAATTAGATATAACATGTCTAGCTATAAATTATAAACAATAAAAAAAAATAAAAAATAAAAAATTGACATACCTCAGTCGTACTTATACTTTACTTTTTAAAAAAATTTCGTATTAATGTATCCACATCATAGTTGTACTGGCACCCGTGCTTCTTATAAAGTTTCATAGCAAATATTTTAATTCAAATTATACTTCCGTTGGAGAAGTTGGTTTGTAGGTTATTTTAACTAAAATATTTACAAAAAATAAAATAAATTTTTTAATTTAATAAAATAAAATATCATATCTAATTTATAATTATTACATTTTTTTTCTTACAAAAAAATCAAAAGTCCTTTCCAAATCAAATTTTTTAATTCCAAACTAAAATAGTCAAAAAAATCAAAAAATTAACCCACTTTTTAAACAGAGGTTACAGGCCTTTAGCTCCACAATTTAAATTTTAAAATTGCATCTATTTGATTGTCGTGTTGATTCTAATACTGTTACGTACACTTTTCGTAACCAAATTAACATAAACAAAATTAAACAAAAAAGAAAAAAGAACCCACTTCAAGGAGGAGACTTCAAGGAGGAGACCTCCTATTAGTTCAATTCGAGGTGAACTTGACCTTCATAAACGTTACAGGAAGTTAATCAGAACATATCCAGCATACTTTTTAATTGAATTCAACTTCATTAAATACACAACTAGATAACTACTTATAAACCCACTAACTCCACATCACATATAACCTAACTAACCTGCTAACTCACTAATGAATCACTGATGAATTCATAACCAACATAAATAAAATATAAGATTACAAAATAATATGAACATATC